GAAAGTAACTATTTTTAATTGATAATACGTCGTGGATATATCTGAATGTCGAGTTGAAGGCCACAGCAAGTGTTTTCTTCTTTTCATGTAGAAGTTTTGAATACATTCTGCTTAATATGAATACAAAAAAATGTCTGCTAATAACTGGGCGCAATTGGTATCTATGGGAATTCCAACAGATTGTTGGAAGACCTGATCCCCAAAGACTACATAGATATTGTCAATCAGAAACTCAAGGAACTTTAGAGTACTTGTGTGTACAATCAGAATATTTTTAGCAAAATAATTTTGGAAATGACCAATGACAAAGTAAGTATATTTACGAGTTCCATTTTTTTAAAAAAAGCAGCTGACTATGTTGTCCAGAAGCCTTGACTTCAATTTATTGTGGGAAATGGTTGTATAAAGTGTTGATAAGTCGTACGTTTTGATGTTATTGATTTTGTGATTTCAAATTTTCTAAACGTATTTAAAGATGTCATTCATACAATGAGTGTTTTGTTTATAGCAGAAAGTCACTTTACAGAAAGAAATGGAGAGTGGGTGAACGTGACGTATGTTTCTATTGTCGATACAATGAACTTGTCAGCAAATACAATTTATCATTAAGTCAAATGCTGACTGACGTTTTTCATATAAATTGTTAGGTCATTATATACACACTGAATTGTCGACGGATTTTTCCGTTATTTTCCGATCATGACAAGGAGCACACGGCGGGTGTGACCGGTCGGCAGGGGATGCTCACTCATCCATGGCACCTGATCCCACCTCTGAGCTTTTGGAGGTCCATGTTTGCTCTTCACCTATTTTGTAATGTTTAATGGACTTTTGAGCTTGAATACTGTTCTTTATCTCCATATATTTCATTTATAGGATCTGTTACCACCATGAACCTGATTGGCCTGCTGTTTTACCTTAAATTCTGGTAAAGATGGATAAATATATAAAAAATATAACAGTTTATTTCACTTCAAGTCAAGAAAGAAGTAATCAAAATACCCATTTCAATTTCAAATATTATTGATTGAGATGAAATGAGACAATTTTATAATCAATCTGTAATGTTAAATGCCTTTCCTGTAGGTTTCAAAAACAAATGCATCATCTACAGTCACAAATCAGCTCTATACTGATCGGACAGATATAATTATATATAGTTAAACATGAAATAATAACCATTTGTTATTGATAAGAAAACAAACAGATTAGTTTAGAGCTGTGTTCATTAAATCTTATCGATTATTTAAAAATCTTTAAGGATTTTGCAGGACAATTAAATAGTCTTTGGCCTGAGCAAAACAAATTAAAGTGTTCAAGTATGATAAAAACTACTGAATTATTTGAATTTTAATACTTAGCACAAAATACATATTACATCTATCTAAAAGAAAACCTGGAGGAGCATGGATATGAAAGTCGTAGAAGCTCAGCATCCAGTGAGACAGAAACTGTTCCACAAAGAACACAAAATCATCCAGACCTGAACAATTAAACCGATCTGAGGTTGTCCCGAAATGCTGCCTTTGTATGACAACTAAAAGACTGTGGACCGGAACCGTAAGCACCATGTGCCTAAACCATTCCATGGGAATGGGCTATAATTGAAAAAGAAATGAACGACGACAATGATGACACATAATATGAACAATTTTCTAATCAAGAACAATGCAACGTAAGTCTCCACTTATGTAAACCTCCCATTGAGAATTTCATGACCCTGAGATCCCTTGATTCTTCAACCAATCTCAAGGATAATACAGAGAGAATGCACAATGAATATGAACATATCGAAATGAAGGAGGTGGAAAGAATATACCGTACTCAAATTAGTATAAAAACAAAGGCCTAAAAATTGGTATGAAATACGACCCAATGATAGGCTATATTTGCTAACAAGGTAATTATACCAACCATAGAATTTACAAAATGCTGATTTGGAATCCCTTTAACATCATCTAATTGTCAGTAGCCTGGCTCGCTTTAAAAATGGATCGTAGTGAGAGGATGCATTTTAGTATCGAATATATTGGGAGACATAAACGTTTGCTGGTGATAGCGAAATATTACTACATAAATAAAGAAAGGTACGGATGCAAAGCCTGAAGTCATCTCGTTTGTCGTACAATTTACTTGTTATTTGGGATATGTGATTTAAGGCTCAAGGTTATTTGCAAGAACATATTCTGCATAAAACAATTTCTAACATGAGGAAGGATATTAAAATATGGACATAACGAACAGTAGTCAAACTCATAGTCCATTTAAACGATACAAATGCAGAGCAAACACGAATCTCCAAACACATCATAGGCAGGATCAGGTGCCCTGGAGGAGTGCTCCTTGTCATGATCAGAAAAATAACCAACTAAAAAATCCGTTGACAAATCAGTGTGTAAATAATGGCCTAACAATTAGTATAAAAAGCGTCAGTCAGCATATGACATAATGATAGATTTTATTTGCTAACAAGGTCATTGTATCGGCCATAGAAATTGCGAAATGATGACTTAAAACGAAACTTGTTTGTCAATAGCTTGCCTCGTTTTAGAAATTGTTCGTTCTTAGAGCATGCTCTTGCGTATCAAATCAACTAAGAGACATAAACCCCATATGCAGGTGTAGTGTTCTCTTGTACCAAGACACAGGTTCAATTCAATGTCTTTATTAACATGGACACATTCTGGCATTGTATAACAAAGTCCTTGTCTCTTAAATAGTATGACAAAGTCCCTGTTTCTGACATAGATTGACTACAAATGAAATGTAAATATAATAAATACTTGTACTCAATACAGAATATACATATAATGTAACCTTTTATCAATATAAATCATGACACAAAAAGTGCTCCTTATATTAAACTTTGTAAACAGTGGTAATATGACAAATTCCTATTCAAATTCAATGTAACAAGTAAATGCATATAGCAGACAGTATGTAATAAATAATTAATATATAATTACCGTGATGTATGTCTGGTACTTTCAGCTAGAACACAACAAACTACTGCACTCACTGATCTAAATATGGCGCTCGTGCGTTTCTCAACATTTGATAAACGTATCATTCTGGTAAAATTGGAATGCAAAGAAATCGAAACTTACGGACAAAATTGGAATTCAGAATAAAATATACAGATTGTCCATTACACCGGCCTCTAAATGTGTTTTTACAAAAACATATTTCTCAATATATCAAAAATGGACAAAACAATGTATCCAAAATGAGTTCATTCACTAAACATTTCATTGCACAAAGGTTCACTGATTTGTTTCTCTTTTTCACAATCTGTTTCCAAAAGAAGACAAAGTTTTGTCACTGGCCGTGTAATAATGGAAGACACTGTCTTTATCCTCGCAACACGCACAACATCATAGTTGTCCTTTATCACTTCGAGCACTCTACCGAGATTCCATGCGTTTCTTGGAGTGTTTTCCACAATGAGAACTAAATCACCCTCTTGTAAGTTTCTTTCCTGCTTCAGCCACTTCTGTCTCTGTTGGAGAAGGGGTACATATTCTCTGATCCAACGTGTCCAGAAAACATCAGCCAAATACTGAATCTGCTTCCATCGACGTTTTGCGTAGTTGTTAGAAGTATGGAAAATTCCAGGGGAAAGCTCTCTCCTGATCTCATGAGTAGCATATGATTTGGTGTAAGTGCACAAAGGTCATTCGGATCATCTGAAGCTTCTGTAAGGGGTCGTCCATTCATAATAGCTTCAATTTCACAAAACAAGGTTAACAGTCCTTCATCATCCAAATGAATTGTTTGTTCATGTAGAACAGAATACATGATTTTCCTGACTATCCTGATGAGGCGTTCCCATACTCCTCCAAAGTGAGACGCAGCCGGTGGATTAAAGCTCCATTCAATTCCTGACTGTAATAATTGACTGGAAATGCTGTTCGTATTCCAGGAATGAAGTGCTGTTCTTAGCTCACGTTCTGCACCTACGAGATTTGTTCCATTATCAGACACTATATAAGTTGGTTTTCCTCGTCGTGCAATAACCCTTCGAATGGCGTCAATACAGGAGTCTGTATTCAAGGAAAAGGCAACCTCTAAATGTACTGCTCGGGAAGATAGACAAGTAAATATGACACCGTACCGTTTTACTATGCTTCTTCCTCTTTTAAGCTCAAATGGACCAAAATAATCCATTCCCACTCGAGTAAAAGGGGGTTCATCAGGTTTCAGTCTCTCGCTGGGGAGGTCTGCCATTTTCTGTTTCAAAGTAGGTGCCTAATATCTTCTGCATATAACACATCTGTAAATGATGGACTTCAAAATTGATGACACACCAAGAATCCAATATTTCTCACGGATAAGTGCCAGCGTTGAATTTTTTCCTAAGTGTCCGACAGATTTGTGTGCTTCCTCTGCTATCAACCTGGCTAATACAGACTCTTTGGGAATAATAATTTGATGTTTTCTGTTAAGAGTTGTATCCAGTTTCTTAAGTCTACCGCCTACACGTAGAACTCCATTGTGAACAATTGGGTATAATTTGGGTAATCTTGATAAATATTTCACAACTCCATTTTCACTTGAATTCAAGTCTTTAAATTCTTGGGCAAAATGCTTCATCTGCACATACTTCAAAATGTCTGTTTCTGCTCTGTCAAGAATGTCTACATTTAATGAAGGTCTTTGTGTAGCATTTTTCAATCTGTTATGCATTTCCTTCATTTCCAATTCTTGTATTTTCTCTTCTGTAAATCCCTCCGATATCATTCTTGATCTCCGTTCTCTTTTCCTCTCCATTATTCCTTTGAGGTTTTCTCGTGCTAAGAGTAGCCATCCAGTCACTGTTTTCAGCTTTTTCCAGGAAGAGAAGTGCTGGAGTAATCTTTCCATTCCTTCCACTGTTTCTGTTTAACTGCTGTGTTGACGCTGTCCTTTATTTCAGCACTGTCAATTTCTGACGAATCACTAATGATTTCAGTAGACGGCCATGAAACATCTGGTTTCCATAACCACTCAGGACCACTGAATCATGCTGCTGATTCAAGAAATCTACTTACTACTGGTATTCCCCTTGACGCACAGTCTGCTGGATTATCTTTAGAGTTGACATAGTGCCACTGGTTGACTGTAGTTGCTGCATGAATTATGGCAAGCCTATTGGCAACAAATGTTTGAAAACGAGTTTTTGTGTTATTTATGTAACGAAGAACTGACATGCTATCTGTCCAGAAGTAAACTTGATCAACTTGATTATCCAACTGTTTTGTAACTATCTTGCATAATTTCACTGCTAAAGTTGATGCCGTCAACTCAAGCCTCGGTATCGTCACTGTTTTTAACGGTGCCACTCTTGACTTTCCAAGAACAAAGGAACAGTAGATTTTTCCAGTCTCACTGATGAGTCGTAGATATATTACAACTCCTATTCCAACTTCACTTGCATCTGCAAAACAGTGCAACTCCTGACATGTCGTCTTCCCGAAGTCTTGTGGCTTGTAGCACCTTTCAAGTGTTACATTTTCAAGTTCTTTTGCTTGTGTCAGCCAATTTTTCCAGTCCTTAAGCTGACTTCCTGTAATCTCTTCATCCCATCCAATTGAATTTTTGCACATTTTTTGAAGAAGTGTCTTTGCTGTCATCACAAAAGGTGACACGATACCAAGAGGATCAAATATTGAGCTCACTATTGATAGAATTCCTCTTCTGGTTGTTGGCTGATTTTTAATGTTTATCAGGAATCCTAAATGGTCACTGTTAACAAGCCAGTACACACCTAGTGCACGTTCTACGAGTGTTTCACTTTCACCTTCAAGGTTCCATTCCTGCACATCTTTAGCGCGATCATCTTCTAGAACAGATTCTAAGACTTGTTTTGAGTTACTAATCCATTTTGTCAGATGAAAACCACCTTTGCTACAAAGTGTAGACAGATCTTTAATGAGTAAGGCCGCTTTCTTCTCTGTGTCAACCGAAGCCAAACAGTCATCTACATACATATTCTTGAGTACTGTGGTCACCACTGTAGGATCAAAGTCGGAACCATATTCTTTAGCTGTCTGTTGTAGTGCATAGTTACAGCAAGTTGGAGAGGAAGTGGCTCCAAAGATGTGAACTTTCATTCTGAATTGTTCAGGGTTGGCATCTAGATTGCCATCCTTCCACCACAGAAATCTTAGACAGTCTCGATCTTGTTCAGGGATTAATACTTGGTGAAACATAGCCTCAATATCTCCTTGTATAGCAATTTTCTCCTGACGAAATCTTAAAAGTACACCAAGTAAACTATTTGTTAGGTCAGGTCAGGTCCTTGGGGTAACTGGCTGTTTAGTGAAATCCCCATATACACTGCAGAACAGTCAAACACAACTCTAATCTTCCCTGGTTTTTATTGTTGTAAACTCCATGGTGCGGTAGGTACCATACTCTGCCATCCTCTCTTTGTAGCTGACTTTGAGGAACAGGTTCTGCATATCCCTTCTCAAACAGCTTGTTCATAAAAGTCACATAGTCATTTCTAACCTTTGGATCCTTTATCAGTTTCTTCTTTAGACTTCCAAGTCTCTGAAATCCTTGCATGATATTGTTGGGTAACTGAATTAAGGGATTCTTAAACGGAAGTCCAATTGAGTAATGACGATCCTGAATGTGAATAGATTCTGAAACTTGAGTTAAGAAACTCTTATCTTCTAAAGAGTTTTCTTTTACATCATCCACAAGACGTTCTGGAAAGTCATAGTTTATGGAATCTTTCACCATCTTTTCTAAGTTTCTGTCTCTTTCCTGAGCATCTTCTATAGCTACTCTGTTTACGTCATCTGTATCTGATGCATTTTCTCTTATAACATTCCATACTATCCATCCTAGTCGTGTCCTTGTTGCGTGGGGAGAACCACTTGGCCCAGCAATTACTTCGAATGGAGAATAGGCATCTGAAATGTTATTTCCAATCAATTTCTGCATCTATTTCTGATGTTTGAATTGTTGAGAGATGTGGCCACTGTTTTAACTCTTGCTGCGTTGGAATGTGTTCTTTTGATACAGGCATATGTTCCTTTGTATACACATTCGGTAGATCAATCACATGTTCCATTGAAAGTCCACACACTTGCAAACCACTGATAACATATGTGTTCAATCTCTGAGAATTCCCCATTGTCTTTATGGTGATTTGTTTCTTCTTGCCATTTGCTCCAAGTCGATGCATTATGTTTTCTGTACAAAATGACACACTGCTGCCAGAGTCAAAGAATGCATAAGTTTCTATGCTATACGGTTTATTTTTCAGTTTTACTCTCACTTGAATTATTGCCATAGCACAGGTTGTTTCTCCGGCCCCTTTATCACTAAAGGCACTGATGTGAGGTTTGGAGAACTTGCATGTAGTTTTGACATCTGTTGACATAGGATTAATGTTTTCTTTGTCTTCATCTGTATATTTTGTTACACATTTCGCAGGATCATGTAGGATCGTAGGGTGACGCCTACTGCATATGGAACACTTAAGTCTTGCTTTGCACTTTTTAGTTATGTGGCCTTTCCTAAGACATCCATAACACTGTCCATTATTTCGCAGGAATTTGTATCTGTCTTGAAGTCCTTTGGTTACAAACTTCTTGCAGTCATTCAGTGCATGGGTACTACTTTCACAGAATTCACATTTCTGTTCTCGTACATTAAAGTCTTGTACTTCACTTGTAACATCAGTAGACGCAACAGCTCTCTTCTGGTTACGATCTTGATTTCTGGAATTTCCATCAATAGATGCATTACCATACGTAGGCTCATTCAATTTCTTAGCTTCTGTTTTCACAAAACTTACAAAATCTTTAAACTTCACTGTCTTCTTGGCTTCTTTAGTTTTCAGTACAACATTTCTCCACCTATCATGCATATACACAGGAAGTTTTGTCATAAGTCTCTTTATGTTGTCTGAATAGTCTAAGACAGAAACACTATCGATGCTTTCAGCTGCGTTCTGACACTCCACAAGGAACAAGGAGAACTCATCTAGGATCTTTGCATCCTTCACTGCTGGCCAGTCTAATGCCTTCTTTATGAATGCTGTTGCAATTACCTCACTGTCTCCGTACCGCTCTTCAAGTTGATTCATAGCTGCTTTGTAGGCTCTGTCTCCTGACATATGACTAAATCCAGACACTACTCTGTATGCTTCCCCAAAAGTCATTTGCTCAAGATAATTCATACGTTCATCATTGTCTTTAGTATTCATCACTACTTTGGTATTAAACTGTCTGACGAAACGTCTAAATTCTAATGGATTGCCTCCAAATTTCTTTATCTCTGGTACAGGTTTCCGGAAGTATTGTACAACGCACTGCATAGCATCAGATTCAGAGGTCTGTGGTTTTGTTTCATCAAGGCAATGAAGGTCAAGTGGTGGAATTTCTTCACGTTTAGGTATGAATGTCTCTGCGTTTGGATTCAGAGGCCTCTCAAACAAGGACAGTACTGATGCAAACTCACTATGAAACAAAGGCGTTCTTGGCGTTGGTTTTGGTGCTAATGTTCTAGGATTCACTATATCAATGTTAGAAACATCATCATGCGAATCAGCATCACTACACCTTTCATATTTCTGAAGAACTTCTGTTTTAGCATTCGCAATAGCAATATTAGTATTCAAGTCCAACTCTTCTTCTTCAAGTTTTAGTTTGACTTTCGCTATCTCTAACTCCTTTTTATGGGAAAGTGCTGCTTTGCGAGCTTCTAACTCAGCTACTCTTTGTTCTTCTTCAAGGCGTTTAGATGAGATACTTGTAGCTATAGATGTGCGAGACTTGGACTTAAAGCTTCTGACAGTTTCTTTTGTTGCTTCTACTTGTGATTCCTCCTTTACACTCTGGTGGTAGGAAAAGAACTCCTCTATTTCTTTCTTAAAGTTCATGAGAAACACATCGTAATCATAATGAGTCTTAAGCAATTCTTCTCTCTCCTCCTTGTCAGTTAATTGAGAGACAAGTTCATCAAATATAACAAGAAAACGCTCAAAATCCTCAATCCATGCAGCATACTTTCTTCTTACTGTTTCTGGAGATTCATTATCAGAAATAATCTGTCTTATCACACCACTTGTTATCTTCAGTGTTCTAAATGTTTTATTGTATTGTTCATGTTTATATACCTTTCCTTTGTCTGTTAATTTTCTGTTTCGTGTTCCCGATCCTGTTTCTTCTGTAACGGGCATTATGCTCATAACCTGGATCGCTCATGGAATCACGTCAATGTTGTAGTGTTCTCTTGTACCAACGACACAGGTTCAATTCAATGTCTTTATTAACATGGACACATTCTGGCATTGTATAACAAAGTCCTTGTCTCTTAAATAGTATGACAAAGTCCCTGTTTCTGACATAGATTGACTACAAATGAAATGTAAATATAATAAATACTTGTACTCAATACAGAATATACATATAATGTAACCTTTTATCAATATAAATCATGACACAAAAAGTGCTCCTTATATTAAACTTTGTAAACAGTGGTAATATGACAAATTCCTATTCAAATTCAATGTAACAAGTAAATGCATATAGCAGACAGTATGTAATAAATAATTAATATATAATTACCGTGATGTATGTCTGGTACTTTCAGCTAGAACACAACAAACTACTGCACTCACTGATCTAAATATGGCGCTCGTGCGTTTCTCAACATTTGATAAACGTATCATTCTGGTAAAATTGGAATGCAAAGAAATCGAAACTTACGGACAAAATTGGAATTCAGAATAAAATATACAGATTGTCCATTACATGCAGGTGATAAGGGTAAATTGCTGTATAAGTAAGGGAAGTTGACCATAGAAAAGTTGTAGTCATCACGTTTATTATGAAGTTTTGTTGTTAGGTTACCATTAACGTCTTTTTTCCAATAAAATATTCAAATATGAAACAGATGTGTTAGACTCTGAGGTGTCTTTGAGCTTCATTTCTAGTTCACTGGGATATATAAAATCTGACAAATGAGTTGATTATATAAGAATATCAAAAATATTGTTTTAAGTCAACTTTTCGCAAATTTTGTTGTTGACCGATTGAAAGTGTTTAAAAATACAATCAGACGTTAGGGAATGTTGACGAACGTCTAAACGTCTTTTATACAAATGATTTCATTATTATCATCATGAATTTTCTACGGATTTTTTCTTTTACCTTGGGGATGACAAGAGCACACGGCAGGGTGTGATAACTCCTCCCTGGTATCTGATGTTTTCAGAGGTCCATGTATGCTCTGCTCACAATTTCTATTGTTTACTAGTAATTGGACTGATATACTTTTGGGCATGTTAACCCTCCGTTATCTTCACATTTTATTTCTAAATCAAGGTGCCTCAGTACAATGAATGGCCTTAGCAGGGGTTGAATTTTTTTCCCAAAGATATCAGGAAATAAGCTAAAACTCTTCTCTGAAAGGTAAGGAGATGTCAAATCAATATGTTTATAGCATTTTTGTGCACTGCAATTGGTATCCAAACAATATCTGATACTGAAAGAAATTTGCACATTCTTTTAATGGAAAAAGTTACATCAAATGTTTCATAAAAAAGATATTCCTTGTGTAACCAAGTTGCAAAAGTTTTTGTCAAACATTTTGATATACTTTCAGATTTTCTAAGACTAGCGAAGTAGTGATTAGTTCACCGTTACGCATTTAATATCTTAATGATGATTTTCTAGAGTTCTCCATTTAGTTCGTTGACATCAACTATATTTAGGAATATAATAACGCCACTGCCATGCGATAATATTTTTTAATTATTGAAAATTAGAGTAATAAAGTTGCCAACATATATAAAAATAGATTGTAATCAAGACGTTCTGCGCAGTCCGACGTTTAGCCAGATTCATAAGATTAATATATTTGGTTACTTTTCTTCTGCATTTCATTGCCAGACTTACTTCTTAAGAAAAATGACATAGACCAAGTATACTTCATATTTACTTACAACTGATATTTTGTATGTAAAGTGAAATTTCTCAAATTATGCTACCGAGAAAAGATTGATAATTGCCTAATACGATCAAAAAATATCCATCATATGATGGGAGATGGCAGAAGAAAGGTTTCCTTTTTTTAATAAATTGACGAAGAGCAATGAATAATTTCTTGGCGGAGAATCATACCTTTGCACAGTGGTAGTGCTCGCCAATAAAAACTTCTCAAAATATATTTCGGGTAACAAAAGAAATAA